CATTGACCTAACTTTAGGGTCTGAGGTGTATTCTCGTGTAATAACCGGTGAACTTCTTAAACTAGGACCTAATAAACCCTTGGCACAAGGCACTAGGCTTGGTTATGTAATCACAGGTTATCTCAATAAAGAAACCTCATCTGATACGGAAATCAACCCTATTTTGGTAGAAGGCAGAGGTGATTTTGCAGGACCGAACGCTGCTTATGAGCCAACAAAAGATAAAAATCCGATGAATATAGAACCGACTTCTCATCAATTTGAAACCTACAAGAAGGCTGACTTTGGTTCACCATTTCTAAACTTAACCAAGAAAGATCTTAGTTTTGTTGCAGAACGTCCACATACCATAGACGTGCCAAATGATCGAGTTCTACGAGGGCACAATTTCAGTCCCCACGGTAATGTCAATTTTATCGCAAAGGGGAGTGTTAAGCAGCATCAAGAAGATGTGAAGGACCTGAATCACAAACATGAACCTCAGTTGAAGGAACGATCCACCTTGGTCAATGATTTGTTAGGTGCTTCCGATACAATTCGGTCAAGGGCTGACCGACATCACGACCTAATTGAGGGTACCCCTCAATGGGGGGGAGAATGTTCGTACCCAAAGGTACTCAACATGACCACACCCAACAAATCAAGCAGTAGCCAAGTTTGGGAACAGTACCAGGCGCTCAGTAGCACCCACTGCATATGAGAATTGCTGATCAGCATATTATATGTCTCACTAACTCACCGTCTCACCGACTCAACGGCACACTGACCGGCCAATGCAGTCAGCACATTTTGCAGTGTCAGCCAACTACGCAAAGCCAACTACGCAAACTGCTACCATAATCATTATTCCCTGATCTACTTTAGAATATAGCTTACTTCACTAATCATTACACTAAACTTCCGTGTTCCAAGTAGTATATAAACATGTTCCAAATGAAGAATAAAACAGTTATCAACACACCTCTTAACTCCGCGGTTCTACTTCCTACAACTGGGAATAGGGCTCGTAATACCCTATCTCAACTAGCAGCTAACCACGTTAGCTCACCTTCAGCGCAGCTCCAGCATCGCCTGTGGTCCGGCATCACAGTAACCATCGTTACCATTGCCGCGACGCGATCATCCTGCCATCATAGCGTCCCCGTGCCAGCGACAAGTGCTCATTACCCCCTTGTCCCACGGTGTGACCCGGAAGTGTCTACTTCGGTTAGGCACAAACAACCAGATTTCCCACTCCTTTTGTGGAAATGCAACGCCAAATCATAGCACCTCCTCCGCCGTGTTTTACTGTTGGGCTTAACCGTAGTCTTGCCGTCACTGCCGAATAGGTTAAGTTTGCTCTCGTCCAAGAAAATGACATCGTCACACCAGCTTTGGTCCTTTTTGGCGTACTCCTTGGCAAAATTTTCCCTCAGTTTCTGGATGCGCTCAGCCAGCAACGTCTTCTTTCTAGCGACTCTGTTGTTGTACCCATGTTTTTTTATGGTACGACGAACGGATTGCGTTGATCGGTCTTCCCGTGGTTCGGTCTTCAAGTCGCGAGCACTAAGTCGAGGGTTTTTCTTGACCTTTCGAACTATTTCAGCTTCTTCGCGATCAGTCATTTTTTTGGTAGTCCTTTCTGCTTTATTGACTCCACTCTTCCCTCATTTTTGAATCTCCGGACAATGTCAACGACCTTATTTGGATTCATTTCCAGGATATCTGCAGTTTCCTTGTAAGTCTTGCCCTCTAGATGCAACTGGAGAACAAGTTTTCTCCGCTCCAAGGTTGAATTTTTACTTTTGCGACCCATTTAAAATTCGTGGCTAAAACTTTATGTTTGCGGCTTGTTTGGTGTCAACTATTGTCGGTCAGATGTTGACTTTTTGGGTAAACACATTAATTGCGCCAATTTTTGGCCATATGGAGCTGCCACAGGGATTTTTACTCGACTTTCGAATATAGAGCTTTTTCTTGATTTTGTTTGTTTTTTCGTTAAATATCAAAAAAAGTATAAAAAAGTAAAGAATTTCCCTCCTTAGTCTTATACATTTTATTCGTGTTTGAAGTTAAAAAAAAAACCGAATATTATTATTATCTAATGCTAACTTAAAGTTTTAACTTTGGTGGCGAGCGATGTCAGTAAAACACCGAATATTAATGGGATCCACTGTAGAAGAATCTAATGTTTCTTTCTAAAATTTTCAGTTGGCTTTTAAGCTTGAAGTAGTTTTCAGAGATGACCTGCACCTTTATTTCAGAGGATATAACATTTGTTTTGGGGAAAGATATTGGGCTACCAGTGTCTATAAGGCATGCGGTAAGTAATGGCGTTTTGGAACTATTGGAAATATTTGACTTACGTAATTATTTGCATTTGCGCTCATACGCTATGGGCACTGACCAACAAAGTGTTCAAACTTCCCACATGCGTAGCAGGATCCGTGCTTCCTTTTCGGTCCAAGGCAATATTTTTCGTAGTACCCCTTTAAATTGAAGTTGGCGAACCGGAAATTCTTCGTCTCCGCAAGATTAACGTTGCGAAGAATTGATTTCCTGCTTTTGTTCAGGAAAACAAATACCAGATAAAGCTTTTAACATCTGCATCGGTTCGGAGAAACATTGTATGCGAGCTTGGTCGCGCAGTCATGGTTATGGAATTCCTTCGATGATGTCTCAAAAAGCTCTTCATTGATGTTTATGTCGTTGGAAAGCATAATTTTCTTCTCGAAGTAAGAAGCGAACCTTTTTCCTAGACGCCCTTCGACATCATATACTATGTTTATGCTAAAGATTACATGATTTCTTAAAAGCGTGAAATAAAATTTGCTCCTGTTTATGCGACACAGCCGAATTAATGCTTTTTATCAATCTCAGCTGACAGAGATGCCGGACCGGTGGATAAAGGTGTTAGCGATTATAAAAGCGATTATTTTTTTTCGATTCGCATGAAATAATATTGCTTGTATTAAAGATAAAGTGTGTGCAAGCCAGTATAACATTTTTTTACCGTTCAAATAAAAGATGAAAACTAGTTTCCATTGGCACTGAATGAACAAAAAATTTGTTAAATGTAAGGTGTTTTTATGTATTTATATCGATCTGGCAACTCCGATAATTATATAGAGTTACCGGAGTTTAATTCTGACCATTTCACGCTTTCAGGTTGAATTCATAGTCAACATTTTTCTTGTGTTACCGAATTCACGAAATGGCGTTTATGCACACACGAATCGGCTGAAATTGCGAAATGAAAGCGTGAATTCGGCATCGCATAAACACAGTAATAGTTGAAAATTCCAGGATCAACTGATCACAGAGACGGTCTGTCGGCTCCGAAATGCGCATGGCATTTGCCTGCAGCCAAATTAGCGCCTTTCCCTTTAGTTTGGCAATAAGGAGCATACGCACACCAAAAGAGTCCAAGTTGTACACCTGCGCGATGATTTACTGTTGTGTGACCCAGTTACGGGCACAAAAGTTGCCCGTCGTAATCCATTATGACTTCTTTTGCCAGTGCTTTTTGTTGAAGATTCGAGCCGTTTGATTACATTGGTAAAATGGCGCTGATCATCACTGTTTGTATCGTGCTTTCCAATACTGGATTCACCGATGTCGATGTTATCCCTGGCGCTGTTAGCGCGGGGGCTGTTAGTGCCAACAGCGTCTATGAAAGCGCAACTGTTGCCGGAGTTTTCAAAGTTGCTGCCGATGACGTCATAAACTTACTGAACATGATTTAGTTTGTCCCTGGTGACGTCAGCGATCTCCACCTCAAGTTGTTGAACTACGTCCTTATTTGCGTCGAGTTCGCGGCGTATTTTCTACTTTCGACATCCATTAGAGGAAGGTGCTTTATGCGGATATCGTTTACTGCTTGTGGCGTCATTGTATGGGAGTCGAGCCAAAATTCCTGGCAGGGTTGTCGAATTTTTGTTTAAATATCACATCGATGATATTTGGTTTTTAAAAAATATCAAGGCATATTTGAAAATATCAATTTAAAATATCGATATATCGATGATTTTTAATATGTTTTCATAATATTTAAATTTTAATGGAAGAGGACATCACAGACTGCTAATTTAAAATTCACAGCGCACAGTACCCTTATATTTTGCTTTAAAAAACAAAATATGAAAAAATTCAAGAAATCGAAAATTTATATCAAATCAATTTCATTTTTTTTATTAAGTACAAGAAATATATTTTATATGCAATAATAACGAATTTAAAAAACATTTCCTTTTGAGAATCAAACCCAGTAAAAAACTTTTTTGCGCTCATCTTTTTGGGTTTTGTCGGCTTTGGCTAAGGCTTTAAAGTGATCAACAATTAAAAAGGACCAAAATATAATTTACAAATAATAAAGATTTTCGATATTTCGGAATTAAAAAAAATATCGATATTTAAAATTAATAAAAAATATAATTTCTGAAAAACAACGGTAGGGTCGGGGGAGTGGGGCTTTTCGCGCTTTGGATTACTCCTCTCTCCCTTCTGACCTACAGTGCATTCATATAAACGAAGAGAAAGAGACGGAAAATCGCTTACCCAGTGTTGAATAGGACAGACAATTTGTGCACGTAATAGCGATAAAAATCTTTCTGTTTTCACTCTCGTATGGCGAAACCCGTGTGCCTAATGCGATTTTTCTCGAATCCTCGAAGGGTATTTGATAGTCGAGACTGTGGACTATAGTGTTCTCTCTTGTTTTACATAAAGTAAATCAATACCAATTGTTCATACCTCAAAACATTTCGTTTTAATTTAAGAACATTTTTCTTAATTCTAGACTGTTTTATTATTATTAAACTTACTAGTTGCTTATTAAAACATTGGGTTTTAAGAGTTATATTTTTAGCGCCATTCCATACACATAGTTTAATACGATTTTAATTGTGGTGTTACTATTTTCGGTGTAGTGGGTAGTGTATGAACATTTTTAAAGTCCCACGCCTACACCCCCAAACGTTTCACATTTCGATATTTACGGCGTACCAAAAGACATTACTTACCACTCATACGCACTGTTGCCGTTCATCGAACATATTATTTTCATACATATGAACTCGACTTAAATGGTTCCGTGTTTAAGAAACCGAACTGTTATCGCAGTTTTCTATTCATTTTTATTTGTCTTTTTCTATTGGCTTTGATTTTCACGTGCGTTTGCTTTTCTCTTTTGTATCGAAGTGTGACCGTTCTCCGATCTTTACAATATCCTTACCTTAATATATTAGCTTAACTCAGTTTTACATTGAATCGGAACAACGGAATTGGTACATAGTTGCGGAAGTTCGCATGTAAATGATATTAATACTAAATAGTCATCGCCATTACACATTATTCTATTAACCTATTTAATAAACTGCTAACAGTAGTAAACTTTTTTACCCAAAAATCTAGTTTTAGGACTTATTGGCCTATCATCAACTATTTTAGTGACCTTACATGAATACATGTAGTATAAGTAACTTTAAAGGGAACATTTAGGCCGTTAGGACAGGCTTAATTATTAATCAAAAAACATATGTTGCGTCTCTTAAGAGATATGACTAACTAATAAAATGATAAGAAAATTAAATTTTTCTGGGTTAGAAACGAAGCTAAAAAAAGAAGGCGATTTCTAGTGGGGCTCGGAAATGTCTCGATTACTGTGTTGTAAAAAATATATATACAAAAAAATATTTACTGTCTTACCGAAAACTTAAGGAATCAAATATTTATCACTTTGTACTTTGTTTTTTACTACATTTTTAAAGAATTTCCTAAAAATCCAGCCTAGCTAAGTAATAGGTATCTGGTATTCGAGACACCATGGTTTCGACTATGCACAGTTCTCTCTTGTTCGTCAGGTATTACTTCCAGTCAGAGGCTTTCTTTCTCTCAGTGTCTACGGGAAAGCTCCCACTTAATGCATAAGCTTGAAACTTACTGCGAAGAGTGTGTAGAGTTCCGAGTGGGAGGGATGTACTTGTTGCCAGTGTTGTTGTTTGCGGCGAATTCGGAGACGCAACATGTTTGATGGTGACTTATCTCAAACGAAATGCTGTTGCATACTGGACCACGAGAATAAATTGGAACTAAGGGATATTTTTAAATAGCCCAGTGAAGTCGCTAATGCAAACAAAACCTATAAGAATTGTTTTGCATATTTATTTAAGGTTGCATCGCCGCGTTGTTAGATGTGTTCCAGGGGCATCCATCGACGAGGTGCAATCTTCGTTTATTTGCCGAAACTTTTACTGTTGCTGTTGCTGTTGGGTCTCTACTTCGCAGCTCAGTTGCCTCCTTATTTGCCGGCTAACAGTTCGGAGAGGTCCTCGTGCGAATTCGTCGTCTGCAGCTTCGCCTCGTCGTCGGCTGCCCCAAGGACTCGTGCAGTTGGATAGGTTCGTGCCCGTTGCACAATTCGCCAGCGATGGCAAGCTTAAAATTTTCGGAATGCGTTAAGGATCAGTTTTGCGCGAATTACGGTCATGAAAGGTTGCTACCGACGAAGAGCCGGCGTCCGAAACAAACATTTTCAAAATAACATTTCCCAGAGTCTTCCGTTCTGTGCGTGAGTGTACGGTCCGCGAATTTGAGTACGTCTTGAGTGCTTGAAAAAGCAATGTAAACATATCGCCTATGAAAACTGACCTAGCCCAAGAAACGTTGAGGAAGTAACTGACCTAAGTCAAGCTCGATAAAACGATACCAGGATTTGGACAATATAAATGAGGAACAGGAAACCTTTAAATACATAGAGATAGAGTAAACTAGTGTATAAAGCTGGTGACGACCACCAAATAGTTTTAGAACAGATAAAAGTGCTAGTAGTTCTTAGTCTTTTGCACAGCTTTTTGTTAAATCATATCAGTTAGAATTGCATTGTGTATCTTAGACATAATTAGATTCCTTGGACGGCTTAACCAAAGAAGCTAAAAACATTTCCCAACATCGCTCGCTTAAACTATAAATGGTTGTGAAATGTAGTAACGTAAATATCGAAATGTTTGAATAGAACCTTGAATAAAGAATTACATTTGAATACTACTCGCGTTTTCTGATATATTTTAATAGATTAGCTAAGCTTACATCTATAACAACACTTTTTCGGTAAAAGACTGTAGTTCTTTGTTCAGTACTTACACATTAATAGTGAGCAGTGAAAAATATCGAAGAATTTCCAATTTACAAACGGAATAAGTGCTGGAAAATGTGAAAAAATTTTGAACCGATTTAAATAACGTGGCAGTCTTGAGTTAAAGAAAACTGAATTAATGGTAAGCCAAAAGTTTTCGATTATATTAATTCAACTCTTTAAACACATTTTATAGGCACTTTAGATTAAGTAGGCTTAGTAGATTATGGATATCAATAAAGTAAATGCTGTAGGTTGTGCAATAGCTTAAACTGGGATCGGAATCACTCTGTAGCCGTATTTAAAAGATCATATCGAATACTGCCCCTCCATTCATGTTTTCAAGCTCGTCTCTTTCTCCTTTTCGGTACAGTGATCTTCCACTGCCAATTCTTTTATATAGAGAGTAGAGTAATATAAATTATTTATTGGTTCAAATTATCAGGAAGTAACTCAGTAAGGTCTCGTGAATTTCAAAAAGTTAACTTTGGTACCGTTTGAACTTGGCTGTACATGACTATAAAAACGGATGTCCAGCAGCCAAAATTGTGACAATGGAGCTCAAACGGCTTAAAATCATATTGATTTTCTTGCCGCCTATTCGACACTTCAGATTCAATTAAAATTTTTGGACTAAAATTGCTCTTTGCCAGTTGGTCAAGTGCAACATCGGCAGTTTTCGCAGTCAGCGGGAGGACAGGGTGCGGAATTGAGGGCTTGGGACAGCTGCTAAACAAACGCCAATCCAAGCAATTTCAGAGTTGACTGCATTGCAATGGGCGGCTCAAAGGGAGGAGCCCAGCATGCACTGCAGGAAAGTGATTTTTGCAGTGATCCGAGCCCAAATCCGAATCCGCTTGTGTGAAGTGAGTTGCATAAATGTGCAAGCTGTTCAAGTGATTTCGAGTGAAAGACTCTGAATGAGACGTTGTCTGGCATCGGCTGCGGATCCCGGTCCTTCGACCGTATCTGCCTGCATTATTTTGTTGCATACTTTGCTGCGTCATTAAACCAATTGATGAACCTGAGCAGGAGCGGTGGTGGGGGACTAACGTGTTTATTACGCTTACCGTGCCGTAAGTGGAAAATCAAATTTAAATTCCAGCAATGCTTGCTAGTTGAAGTCCTCTCGAGTGGTTCTTTTGATTAGGCTGCTAAACATGCAATAAAAGCCGAAGAGGGTCGGCTGAAGTGCGTTAACAGTTCTTTAATATTAATTTCAAAGCAGATATCGCAGTGGTTTTTACACATTGTGCTGATGTATGCAGGCAGGACGCTGCTGAAGTCAAAACATTTCATTAAAGGCAGTAACGAACACTGAAAAAGTACACAAAAGCAGCTGAAAACAAAATGTTGACAAAAAGCGTAAAACACACAACTCAATAGTGCACAAAATGAAATGAAAATGACGCAACATGCAAAGAGCAGAAACAAAACAAGGAAGAACGCTATAGTCGAGTACCTCGACTATAAGATACCCGTTACTCAGCTATATGGAGATATGCAAGCAGCAAAGCGAGATTAAAATGCGCCACCTACCGGCGGTATACAGATTTAAGCGTTATGGGCGTTAGAGTGGGCGTGGCAAATTTTTTTTTGGATCAATCGATAGGTATTGACGAGACCAATACATTTCAGTTAAAATTTTTTATCTAGCATGAAAATTGTGGGCGTCACAGGTTTTCGCGGTTTGTGGGCGTTAAAGTGGGCGTGGCAAACTTTTTTTTGGGTCAATCGATAGGTATTGATGAGAACAATACATTTCAGTTAAAATTTTTATTCTAGCATCCAAACTGTAGGAGCCACAGTTTTGGGCGGTTTGTGGGCGTTAGAGTGGGCGTGGCACAAACTTGCGCTGCGTAAGAAGCTCAGGAATCTGTACGCCAAATCTCAATAGCCTAGCTCTCATAGTTTCCGAGATCTCAGCGTTCATCCGGACAGACAGACGGACAGACGGACAGACGGACAGACGGACATGGCTAGATCGACTCGGCTAGTGATCCTGATCAAGAATATATATACTTTATGGGGTCGGAAACGCTTCCTTCTGCCTGTTACATACTTTCCGACGAATCTAGTATACCCTTTTACTCTACGAGTAACGGGTATAACAAAGACTTGCAACAAACTCGGAAAAAATGTAACCAAACCGACTGACCAGCGAACTGAAAGACCCACCGACAGACAGACCATACAAATAAATACGCAGTCAAAGGCAATCAACGTCAGCCGGCAAGGCACGGAAGGCGGGAAGCCGGGAAGTTGGGCAGGCAGCTCGCTCCCCTTGACAACTACCGATATTTGATTTGAAAACATTCCGAAAAACGCTGCCCAAATGCATCCGCCCTTCTATTTTGAATGCTCGTCATCGCCATCAGCCCCATTTGGCTCCAAGGATCGCTGCAAATAAATAAATGGCAGCCATTGGCACAACAATTACAATCCGCTGCAGACATTTCGTATTTTGAACTCCTTTTTTCGGTTATTTCTTGTTGCCGCTTTGTCACTTGATGTTTTAATTGGAAGGCAACATTTTATTTAAAGCCGATGTGCGTTTTTAGACTTTCCATAACCAATTCTAAATGCGCGGTTGATGGATACAAAATTTGACCTTTAAGACGATAACGCCCGATTCTGATCTACACATGTACATTACAATTACATTTATATTGTACTTAGTAAAACCCATGTGGTCGATAATATCCGTTCCTCGGTTGTCATGAGTTATATGTCTATTTGTAAAATAAAAAATGCAATCTGTAAATATTTTCCTATTTGATAATATTATATTGTAAATATAACTTGAGTGTCAAACCCATTTGGTCGATAATAGCCGTTCCTCGGTTGTCATGAGTTATATGTCTATTTGTAAAATAAAAAAGGCAATCTGTAAATATTTTCCTATTTGATAATATTATATTGTAAATATAACTTGGGTGGCACGGAAAATCTCGATTAATAGTCGTATATTTTAAAACGAAGTGTTGTCGATTTTATAAATATTTTCCAAATTATTTTCCTAATGGAAAATGGTTTGTACAAAAACTATACGCTGTAGTCAAACTTTTACCGAACCAGGTTTTACCAAAAGATTTATAACTCATTCTTAAGCAAGATTTTGCCTCTTAAGTTACCTATACGTTTTGAAATATTAAAGTTTTTCTTAACAACAATCATGCATTATTAAGCTGAACTGTAAAAAATTTGAAATCATGTGTTACTTATTCGTTAACAAAACTTGGTATCCATCGTGCAAGGTAGATTTTAGCTGAAATGAAGACAAATTTTATCTCGCAAAAATAAAAACAAAGCTGCCTAAAGGAGGGAAGGAAGAAAAGGCACTTTAGAGGTGGATAACGAAACACCGCGAATTCTTCAGATAGCTAAGGTGACTTATGTGTGATACCAATTATATTGGGCATAGCTTCAGCTTTAACTAACCTTCCAAGAAAATATTAATTTGAATGGGCTGATAACTTCTATTTAATAATAAAAATAAACCTTTATAACATTTAATTGAAATAATCATATTTTTAAAAAGTAATGCAATATTTTACCATTAGCGTTTGTCAGAAGTAATGAATTCTTTTTACATTGAATTCGAAAGTAATGAGTTGTTTTGTCATTGGCATTCATTCTTTGAAAAGTAATGCAATGATAAGCAATTATAATTATTTTTTTGGAGAGTAATGCACTGTTTTTCCATTAGAATTACTTATGCTTTGATATTTCATTTTGAAAAAGTAATATTGAATTTTTATTAGCACTACTTTGTCAAAAGAAATTAACTATTTAGCATTACATTTTTAAAATTTATTGAACTTTGTCAAAAGTAATGAATTACTAAGATTTAAATTTTTGAAATGAATTAAAAAGTGGTGATAATGCTTGTAGACACAACACTGCTTTCAAACGCCATCGGTTGAAAAGTTATGAATACATTTTAGTCGACGTCATTTTTGATAAAATATTTTCATTCTTTTCGAGACACTTTATTGCACATTGGTCACTCGCGAGATTTTTGAATGTAAGTATTTTCCGAACCGAAATCTCTTGCCAAACGCGTACCTGTTAAAAACTTGACACAGCTGAATTTTAAGATGATAATAATATTCTGTGAACCAATAAAGAGCAACATTAAATTTACATAAGTGCTGTCTTTCGCGACAGTAAGCTATAACCGCAATTTAGTAGGCTGAAGAATGTTTTAACAAATAAAACAAAAAAATCTATTCCATTTTATATAAAAAGATTGGTGGCCAACGAGTCCAATTATATTTAGAAAAAATGTATTTTTAACCAAATGCAATTTGCAGCGCAACATTGTTTGAAAGCTTTGCATTGATTTGCAAATGGTGAAGTAAAAAGTTAACGCCAAAAGAACAGAACGACATTCAAGTGAAACCACTTTCATGGTAATGACTTTTTATTTATAGCTGCTATGTCCAACCAAACGTTTCTTACTGTCCTTACCCCATTCTTCCCTATAACAGATTTAATTAATTAAAATTAGGAGTCAGAGATGCTGACCAGCTTCAAATTGTTTATAAAAAAATGTAACAAAGTTGAACGTCTCTATATATTTCCTAAAAATCAAATCAAGGGTTGCTTTTCCTGGATTTTTATTTCAATTCAGTTTGCTTCAGTTTTTGTCAGTCGCCTTATTAAGTAAGGTCTTTTCTTTCATAAATTGTGAAGTTTAAATATGTGGTAGGGAAGTGTAGAGTAAGGTGACGAGTAGGGTAATGTGACGAACACGTCAAACTTCATATGTGACGTCACGTCGAAAATACCAAATAATTCGAGTCGATTTCTCTTATCGTGCCGGCAACGTATTCACAAAAAAATATTAGGAGTTCGCATAATTTGGAGCCAATATTAAAAAACCAATTCAATTTATCTGTGTTTCAGCAGTGCCGGAGCAAAGATTTGTGGAAAAGCAAGTCAGATAAATAAATATACAAGTATTAAAAGATCTGTAGTAACAGTTCTTGGTACTTTGTGATTTTTTCCTTTGCGCCTTATGAAAGTGGCACCATCATATTTTCAACTGTTCCTTGTAGGGTATGGTGTCAAGCATTTTGTAGGGTACGAAGATTTTATATTTTTGGCGTTTGCTGACATTATATTGTTGTTAGTTTA